AAGAGATTCTATCATACTGTGTTCTATATGTATGCTGTTATAATATTTTTATTCTTTTTTCACCAGGTAGCATGCGACTTTATCCCTGCGATTTCTTTGCCAAAATAAGAACAATCCTACAATTATATATACATATATGTGTGTGCATATATATATATTTATTTATTTATTTATGTATATACATGTTGTTATTTTTATAAATATATTTTGGTTGGTTTTAGGAAGCTGCAGAAACAAAAAACACGCTGACGGCGGAAATCGTGGCATTGGAAAAACAAAATTATCATGCTAATATGGGTAATCTTTTAAAGGACGACTTGATTAAAGAAATGCGTAAAGGATTGAAGCAAACAACTTTAGAGGTATGACGGATATTTGTAAAATTTTCAGTGTAAATCTATAATTTTCTACATTTATAGAAGACTTTACCCATCTTTCGACCTTGCAAGTATAATTCTAATAATCGTATCGCTGCTATTACTAAGATGAAATCATCCCATGAATCTCCTGAGCAATTTCCAGTATCAAGCCTCCTACATATATCCGCACAGCGAAAGAATGATTTTGCATTTTTGCACACTGATTCTGAGATCTTATTAAACTGTGGCAAACGAAGTTTATCAACGATCAATACAAAGTTACCAAATAGATTGCTTAATCTACACAGCCAATCTCGACCTAGCGTAGATACTCAAACTGGTCGATATAAATATATAAAGAATATTGATAAAAAAATACTACAGACTGCTAGAAAATTATCACCTCCGTGTAAAGATAACAATTTACCAGATTGAATTACAACAAACACTTATATTTATTCTGTCACATGTTTAAGATAATATTAATGGTTCATTCTTGAAATAAAATGAAATGAATTTAAATTACTGCATCAAGATATCTTACAAATTTAAATATTTTTTAACAAGTTGACATTCTCTGATAAGAATTTTTAGAAACAAATGTGCGAAATAAGGTAAACAAACTTCTACATTTCGATCATTATTTCCTTTTTATAATCCGTATGAAATGACATCGATACCAAAATAACTTTAAAAAGATACACTTTCAAATCAATAAATTGAGATATTTTTAAATAAATAAATTATGCATATTCACGAATTAGTATGCAATATCTATTTATCATCACAATAATATGTTTAAAGTAAATCTATTCTATGCAATATCTATGAAAAACAAGAATGTATATCAACATGATTGCCTCGTTTATAAGTTAATATAATAGTACATCCTAACATAAACCGTCATAAAATAATATATGTAATAATTTTGTTTGCACACACACATATGTCACAGTTTTAATATATATTTATTCTTTCTAACATGATTTCAGGATACGTCTTCTCGAAAAGTCTGTATTGATATGAATAATTCTCAGGTCAGTCGAATTAAATATAATATAAATGTATATAATATAATGTTATTTAAATAATAATATTTTGTTTCTTTAGAAATGTTTTTCGCTTTCTAAATAGATACTTCGCATTTTAAAAAGATTTATTTGTACAATATTATATATTATATTTTAACTTTTTGTGGATGAGCAATCCTATTTGTAATTATCTTTTTTTATTTTTAAAACTGTTCATTTAATTTTTATAAAACTTAATCTATGGTAATCTGATAATGCTTTATTCAAATCTGAGATCAAAAATAAAAAAATCAAAATAGTTTAGTAGAATCCAATAAGGCGGATAAAATTAAAAAAAAAACCTAATTATCGTAAAACTCGATTTTAGGAAATTTTTAATTGCAAGTAACTTTTAGTTTCTAGTTTTGTTTTACCATTTTTTACCATTTAAAAAAAGTCGCTTATATGTTCATTTATATGTACATGTTTCTGAAAATTTATATATAATATTATTATGTTATCTAATTTATTTTTAGGAATTTATATCATTCCTAAATAATACAAAAACACATGTACAGAAAGAATGTGAAATCTTATCGGATTTAAAGCTCGAATTTGGGAAATTTGTAAATAAATTGACCACCAAAGATGAGGTAAAAACATTATTTCTTTGTAACAGAATAAAAGTGAATTTTGTTATAGAATATCATTTATCATATTGTTTTGAATTTATTTTAGCAAATAATTAAAGTTTTTCTAAAAATATATATTTTCTAGGTGGATGATTGTACTATAGCTAACAATTACACAAATAAAAACAAACTTTGTGCAAGTGACATGTCAGACAAATTGGTCAATTGCATTGAAATTATTACTAAAATATATTTAGAAAGACAAAAGGAAATTACTGTTTTTGATTGTATGGTATGTGTATAGTATAACAAATATCAATTTTATTTATTGACTATTTTATGAAGATAATTACACTATTAGATATATTTTAATCGTACACATACTCTTTTCCTAGATAAAGAAAGAAGAAAATCGTTGTGCATGTGGTGATTCTAAGAATATTAAAGTACGATTCATATTTTGATATTTTTGTGTCATACTATTGAATTTAATACGTCTTTCTTTTTCCAGTCAAACGTGAATAATGCACGGCAATTTAAATTAATGGAAGAATTTAGAATCTGTACTGTGGAAGCTCAAGCAGCAACAGAAGACATTCGCGAGGAGATAAGCACCGTTGTTTCAACATTTAATTCACGACACCAGAATGTATGTGTAGATTAATAAATAGACTGGGATAAGTTTGTGATAAAATTAGCGATTAATACATTTTCAGTATGAAGAATTGAGCAAGATGGTTACTAATGTGCAAAGTTACTTGACAAGAACACGAGAAGGATTAATAGAAGCAATTAGCAGACTAGAATTACAAGTAATATTTATAATAGTATTGTATATCAAAATATATGCAAAATATATCTCTTATGATAAATATCATCGAAATATTCTATTTTAAGTTTCAGTATAAATTAATTACAATTTTATTATTTTAATCTATTGAAAAATACCTTTCTTTTTTCAGGAGGAGGAAAGACTAAGACACAGCGAAAGAATCGTGAGTGGCAATCTTAAACTGAAGGATATAAAAAATGAAATTAATCATGTTCAATCAGAATTGTCTCGTTGCATTAATGGTATGCAAGGGAATATACAGGTTCGAAGTATTTATTAAATAACTATTTTAAATACTTTATCGATCATTTTATCGTACATGAAGTATAAAATGAATTTTAGGGATATAATGAATCCGAATATACAGAAGCATACATCAACAATGATTTACTAACTATGGTAATGGAAGAAGTTGAACAAATATTGACAAATTTGCAATTATTTCAAACTCAGGTTTGTTCAGAAATCAGAAGAAAAGTAGTTTCTGTTCGAACTTAACAATATATCGACCTGAGTATTATACAGATATTGTCTTTTAGGGAGGTTGTGTGACGTCAATACTAAAAGGATTAAGAAGTCAACTGTGTACTATAGATAGCTCTTTAAAGGATTTACAGAAAAAAACCGGTGAAGTGGTAAATATCTTAAGATATAGATATGTGTAAAAATAATATCTCATATATTTTCAATTATTTATGCAGCTATTGAACAATGAAATCGCAAAAACGACGTTCTGTGAAAGGGAATGCAGGTTGGCTAAATTCGAAGAAGAAGTCGATTGTGCACATACAAAAATGCAAGATGTGTTGGAAACATTTCTTTCCACAAAACAAGAAGAAAAGGTTGCTATTTTTATATATTTGTATATTAATTAAAAAGATTTTTTAAATTTTATTAGTATCTTTGGAAGAAATAAAACTTTCTTATATATAAATCCAAATTTTGAATTATTAACTTATTAATTTAAATTTTTCTGTTTTAAATAGTTTGTGCAAAATGCTTTAAATTTTGTTTATATTTAAAATTAAATTATTGATGTAGAAATAACAAAAAATAATTTAAATCGGATTCTCAAACTTTAAAATAATTATTTTTATGTAGAAATATTTTTATATGTAATAAAAAAACAAACAAGTTTTTTACTCAATCAAGTATAAATGCAAATAATATACAAACTATTAAAATAAATAATTAACTTAATATAAATATTATTTTACAGGAGCAATTTTCTCGTTATACTTACGATAATCAGGTATTAAAGCAAGTATAATTATTGCATAAATGCTTTTTTTATTTTTTAATTCATGATGTATTTATATCTACGTACTATGCTTTATAGGAAGTAAATGACATAATAAAAACGAAAGAAGATTTACATAAATTAAGAAAGGAATACGATGATCTAAAACTCAACATGATCCAGGTAATTAAATTTATGTTTTGAAACAAATATTTAACAAATAAATTATTCGTTATGTATAACAACTCATGCAAATTAGTTATTGACTAACTTAAATGCAATATTATATGTATATATTTGTAGCAAACATGTCAAATGAAATATGATGAAAGATTAAATAAATGGAAAAATCGTATGACTGATTTAGAAGACCAAATTCGAATGTTGCAACATGAGGTAAACATCATTCACATTATTTTATAAACACTCATTTAATCTTATTTTCAATTGTAAGTTATACAATTTCTTTGTAACAGGCAAAATGCAAACAAGAAGCAATTAATTTTTTAAAGAATAATATTCAATCTATAGAAAAGGAACTAATAGCTGCACGAATAAAGGCAGAAAATTATAGACAATGTCATAGCAAAGATAATATGGAATTGAAAAAGAAGATAATAGAATTAGAAAATATTGTAAGTATTATTTATTTTTTCGCAAATCTAAAATTATTATTGAGATAGATGCTGACATTATAATTTTAGATCAAAACGCAAAAAGAAGTAGAAAATGATCTTAAGAAAAATTTGAATAATGTAGCAAATATTAAGAAATCTGCAGAATTCTCAAATGCTTTTGTAAGTAATTTTCTAATTATACATATTTGGAAATTTCCTTTTTTTTTATTAAAATCTCCATTTTTATTACAAAGCATACGGAATGCGGCACAGAAGCAACACTTTTACGTTGCGATTATCCGTCCAAACATGAGGTAACTATATATTGAAACTGTATATGTATAAAATATTAATGCTTTTTGCTATACATTTATATGGAAATTTTATGATAATACAATAGTAAGAAATATACATTTGCTTCTGAAGTCTTCTTTATAGGATAACAATAATATTGTATTTGTATATTTACGCATGAATACTAAGCACTAAAATCGCTTCGATTAAAAATAGCATTTTTCTTTTTTATTTGTGTTTAATAATATTTGTATTTTTTTATTCCAGAATATATCTCACTTGTTCAAAACTGTGCAAGATGTTGTGCAATCTGCAAAAGTAGCAGTACAAGACTTTGAAAGTGAACTTAAAAAATTGGTTTGTTTTTTTTTCGTCATTATCATATTAATATTCGGTAATGCTACAGAGATTACTATGAATATTTATTTATAGATACGTGATGAATCTTCTCTCTCCTCTGTTTCGGCAAAATCTGCTATGACTTTAACCGATTTGTTAGGAAAATGTAGAGAAAAATTGGATACTTGCTTTCACGAATTAAGCAAACTTAAAAGTGCTGTATATTCTAAAGAAAAACTTGTAAGCTATGTTTATTATTTTTTATATATATGTGACAAATTATATAAGTCTGTAAATAGTGTAAAATATATGTATGAATATTTTATATTTTATTTTTGAATAAAATTAGATATTTTCTCATGAATAATTACATATGAAATCATTTCATATGAATCTCTCTCAGAATATAAATTAAAGAACCAAAATTATTTCAGTTAGAAAATATGGAAGAAGTCGTACGGATACAACGAAATTCATTGACAATGAGCCAAGCAGAAGTAAAAGATCTGCATCAAAAGTTGCAAGAAAAGGTAAATTGATTATATATATTTTTTAAGCAATAAGCAGAAAAGATGTTATGATATTATATGAGAATAGTGTTTGATTTAAAAATCACAATATCATTTTTGATTAAAAGTTTTAATCGTTATTTTGTAATTATTTACGCTTTTTCAATGTATCTTGTGGATTAAACAACACGTTAATTAAATGCAAACACAGAAATTCTGCCCGTTTATCAAGAATAAAGTTTTAAGGTATGTATGATATTAGAATATTAAAAGAAATCTGTTTACAGATAGATAAACAAAGCCTTACAATCGCGCAATATGAGAGAGAAAAGAATGAATTGTTGAAGCAGGTTTGTCTCTTCTTTACTGCTTAGTCATCATGCTTAATTGTGATAAGATTTATTTTTTAACATTGTGCGGTGTATTGCAGAATGAACTTCAAATACAAACTATCGGGCATTTACAAAATGCTGTTGTTGAAGCTAAACGAAATTTGGATCAAATGGCTCATAAGACGATAAGTGATGTGAGTGAGCTGAGGCCAACGATATCGTCTGCAGCTTTTAGTCATAGAAATGTGCATGATGTTTGAATATGAATTATAAATAGTTAAATTGCTATATAGTTTTTTCGCGCTAATATGTATTTATTACAATTGTAAATATTGTCGATATATAAATGCTTATTAAAAATATGATTCACGAATATATGAACTATCACATTTCTTTTCGCCTTTAATTTACATTTACGTTGTGATATTGCGAATGCAAGAAGAATATGAGTGCCATGCATGAAGTTTTGCTCATTTAATTAAAACATTCAAAGTTTTACCATATTTGAATACCCTGTTTACGAAGTGACAAGAGATTGTGGCATGTACAAGCGTAACATGCTGCCTGGATTAACAAGTTGGATGATCAAGTTGTAGCTGTTGCATTTTGCAGTTAACAAAATAATGAATTACGTGCGTGAGTGTCCTCTATTTCTAAACTTGAAAAACATGGATTGTACGAAAAATGTATTATAAATATCTTTACAGCTTGGTAAGAAGGATGAAATTATACGTCAACTAATGATGCGTATCGATGAAACGCAAGATCAATATAACGAATGTTTCACAGAGGTAAACTAAAATTATTTGTATTAATTAGAAATTATTTCTTGATTAATATATTTTTTCTAAATATTGTTAATTTATATTTTTTATCTGCAAAGGCAACTAATCAAGACATACTACTGGACTTGCAACGAGATGCTATTGAAAGTCTGCATAAAAGGATTCGTTGTGTGGAGTATAATAAACGTTTAATCGCTATTACGTTACATGCAATGTATTATTCAATTTTAAGCGAAATACAGGTATATGCAGCTATATATGCTTTATTTTTGAATAATCTATTTTTATGGTTCGGAATAATAAGAGATCTTGTGTATTTTCAATAAAGAAATGTGCATGTCGAATAAGTGTTATATTTTCTAAAGTTGTTAATGTGAATGATTTTAAAAATTATGGTATGACACGGATCTTTTATGAAAGTAACGTTATCTGAATTTTTTCAGAAGCAAATACGCGATCATGTAAAGAATTTCCGAGAACTGAAAGAAAAGGTAAATTATTAGAAATATTTATATTCTACAATAATATTGCTTCTTTTATTATA